CAGAAGGGCAGAGGAGCAAAGCTTTTGCCCCTTCCAAGGCTGTCCTCCAGCCAGCAGCTCCCTTGTGTGACTGTCGGCTGGGGGCTGCTGCCTGGACAGGTGCTGCTGGGTGCCGGGGCTCTCCAGCCTGCAGTGCCCCTCCATCCCAGGAGGCCCTGGCAGAGGTCCCAGGGGTGGGGACGCTTTGTGCTGGCTCTGCTCCCCTCTCCCTGGCTGCGGTGAATACAGCGTGGGGAAGCCGGCTGTGGACAGCTGGGCCTGCAGCTCTTCTGCTGCTTGGGGGAAGGGAAGAACAAAGTGGTCCTGCCTCCACTCTGCAGAGAGCCTGGAGCTGATGCTTCTGCAGTCTGCTGTATCCAGCACAAGGCCCTCATCCTGCTGTGCTGCCAGTATATCTTTGTAGGGGGAGCATCTATCCCCTGGTGCTGTTAGTGCTGCATCAGAGCGGATGCATGCCTGGAGCTGTTTGCATCCCTGGATGCAAAAGGCTGGGGCAGCGGTGAGGCTGCTGGAGCTGGGGAAGTATTTGTGCCTGCTGATTTTTGCCTTTGAGACTAGGGCAGCTGCCTCTGCACAGCCTCTCCAAGCTCTGCTGGTTTCCCAGCTCCGCTCCCTGTTGTCCTGTGCATTTTGGGTGCATGAAGACTGCTGGGGCAAACCAAGCTGCTGTTCCAGCCAGCTGTGCTGGCTGCTCCGGGGCTGGAGGCTGCAACGGGAGCTCCGTGTGCCCCACGTAATGGCAGGAACACAAGCTGGGCCCTGCCTGCTCAGGAGAAAGGGTGTCAGGTGTGGGCAGAGTTGGGCTGTACCCCCATCCCCTGGCATTGCATCTGCTGTGAGCCAGAGATGTCTGAAGCCCGTGGGAGCTCCAGGGCCATCCTGTCGGACCTGTGCTGAACTTGTGGGGCTGCCTTCAGGAAAGAGATGCCTGGGGTTGGAAAACCTGCACTGGCGGTAGAGAAGCTGCTCCATGGGTTAATCCTCTTCCTGGTTAACAACCGTCTTGAAAGACTTGCACACTTTTCTTTCAGTGATGGGTCTTGCCCTGCCGTGGCTTGATAGAAACCCATTCGCTGTCAGCCATCTCCCTCTGCGAGGTGCTTCTCCGCCCTCCAAATCCTGCTTGTTTGTATCACGGCTTTGGCAGGGGAACAGGCTCCAGACTTGTCCACGGGCGCCTTGTGAGGACACAAGACCCACCAGGACTGGTCTCGCGGTAGCGTGGGTGCCCTATGGCCCCCCTCCCGCAGCCAGAGGCGGTGAGGTGAGCATGCCCTGCACTCCCTTGTTCTAGGCACATGTGCTTGGGTTCTAGACCTTTGCACTTGGGTGTGCTAAATACCTGCTGCTCAAGCATGGAGAAAAAGCATAAGCAGGGCTCCAGCGTCTTGCACCTCGTCTCATTTAGGAGCAGCAGCAGTTGAAAGATGATTTAGCGACCACATGTAAGTACTCATGAGGGAAATGCCACCGGTCCAAGAGCCAAACCAAGAGCTGGAGGCAGTTGGACAGCTTTCAGCAGGGCTTGCTTGCAGGGGTAGAGCGGGGCTGGGCTGGCTGGGTGCTGCTCTGATCTCTGCTGTAAGGTTATCTCCTGAAGGGAGTGGCTGTGGGGCAGAGGGAAAGCCCTCGCTCGGGTGAGCAGCCAGGCACAGGGCACGAGGAGAGGCCTTGGAGGACCAGGGGCTGCTCGAAACAAACACAAATGCTGTGGGGTGGCTGGCAAGAAGGGAAAGGCTGTGGACAGCGCAAAAATTACTCATGGTGGGCCGACCTCTTGATGGGACCAGGCCAAGATCTTTTGGTGATGCCGTTGTAGTAGGGACAGTAAAATTCATTGCTAGGACACACCAAGAAACATAGAAATGGGGCGGGGGGAGAAAGGAACCACAAATAGGTTGTGACGGGTGCTAAGCCAGCACCAGCGCCCAGGGACGCGGGAGTCGCCCTGGGTGGGTCGGTGAAAGCACTGCCTCCCACGCTGCCAAAAACGCAGCGGGAAGGAGGGGAGAAAGAAACACCGGGAGACCCTGTCCCTGAGTCCCCG